AAATGTCCAACGTTAGCTCGCCCCAGTGTGCGCCGGTTCGAATGCGGTCTGGGTGGATAGAAATTTATTTCGTGGCGGATGCATGGAATGAATCTCGACCTTCTCACTGTGTTTAGAATATGTTTGATTGTATATCTTGGACAACCCCTCTCCTATGATGGTGACGCCAGAAATTGTGATGTAGACAGAAATAAAAAATAAAAAAGTATAAACGTGTAGATTCCAGTAATTTCCTTTTCATTTGTGCGCTTGATATAGATAGAATAATTATTTTTGTTTTAGATAAGTATTCAAGTTCAACAAGACTTTCACCATTACATTCCAGTAAATTTTTATTCTCAGCAGTTGAAAAAGTTATACTCAATTCTATATGAGCCGAAATACCAATTATAACGAATGAGTTTTGGTTTATTTTTTTTTTTTAATACATGTGGCTACATTATATAACCAAAAAAATATACGTACACACCGATTGTTGGGAAACAGCGTGGTCCACTATTAGCGACGAATATTTACTCTAGATCAACATTATGTAAGGGCCAAGGTCAACTGAAGCAGCAATAAATAATTTTTTGCTTCGGCGTTGTTTCGTTGGAGCTCCATTGATTATATCGCTAAATTGATAAATCAAAATTAAATTTTATAGTAGAAGATTTTTATAGCTTCTTTATTTATACTTAACATGATGGCTCCGTAAACTGATTATTGTTATTATTACGATGATAATGATGGAAATAGTTATTGAAAAATACTCTGAATTTTTCTCATTTCTAGATAGTATTAAACTCGCGTATCTACTTCCACTAGTGTATTGTACATTCGTAGAAGCAGCTAATGGAGTTTTAATATAAAAAATAAAGAAAAGGAGCGTAGTTTCTCTTCTGACTCATGCTCAGTTGCCTCTAGCCATCAGAAAATAGTATGTTGCGCTTATACACCAAAGGAAAGTGGGACATAAAGTGGGAGGAATGACGTAGAATCCGGATCTCAAAATATCATAATTAACTGTCGATGTCTTATATAGATATAAATTAATATATAGATATATACAACTATAACTGAATGAAGTGGTTCCGAAGATAACTGGATCACATTAAAAATAGTAAGTAGTAAAAAAAAAAAAAAAAAAATCGAGAAGGAGGTCGTAAATTGCATGAAATAACTCAGAGCTATATTCCACCCTTTGGTCGATGGCGCACCATCCTCTTTCCAAGAAGTTTTGTTGCTTTTCTGTCATTGAAAGTAGTGTGAGGGAAAGTATTATGAGCAAAATTGTAATTCATAAACAATTACACTTGCTGTACGTTAAATGATTTTATATTTGTTCCACGGTTTGGAAGTTCCTTAAAATTAAAACTCGATACAAATATGGTTCTCACCATAAATTACTAGCCTTCTCAAAATTGAAAACCACGTAAAAACGTGTCCTCGTTAAAAAGGTCCAACTTGTGCTATGCTAATATCTTCTATTCCTGATTCCTGTTCCACTAACAACTCATGAAGTTCTTGAGTTCAGTACAATGTCGGGAAGTACTGTTACAATTCCAACGGTTGTGTAGGGAGGTGATTGAGCTGATATCACGCTCAATAGCCAGGATTCTCCCCTTAAATTATTATTATTCATATTTTAACTTTACTGTAACAATAGTTATTCAATTTTCAATCAATTTATTCGTTAACATTCATTTATTCGTTAACATTCATGTATTTATTTTCTTTTATCTATTTTCTTATCATGTATTTATTTTCTTTATCTTTTATTTCTGTATCTGACAACTTTGTAATTTATATATACTTATATTTATTTTTTATTTTATTTTTATATTTTCAACATGTTTGTATCTTTTGTAGCCCTGAAGACGACCTGCAAAGTGGGTCGAAACGTCGGCAAAAATTAAAATTATTTATACATTTTAATTTTTTTTTTTTTTTTTTTTGACCGCACCCTCGACTAATTCCTTCTCATATCTTAAATTATTATTAATTATTTAATTAAGATTACCCACTTTATAGAGTATGGGTGTGCACCAGGAGTGTCCAAGGTCGATCCATGGCTAATGAATAATTTGTAGTCATCAGCCGGACTTGAACCTGGGACTTTTGCTTTGGAAGTCAGTGCTCACCCAGTGAGCTAAACTGCTCCTTTAATATCTTCTATGCAGTTATTAAAAGAAGAGGGGATTTATAATATAATTTACGATTGATATTTTTCAAATTTTAATTCACCAAGAATGGGAGAAGGAGAGGGGTGCAAATTGCTGTAAGTTTTATGCCCGTCACATGAAATCGATAACAACAGAGCCGATCTTAGACATTTGGCGCCCTCGGACAATGATGTCATATCCACCCAAATAATTATCTGTACTTTATAACTAGTGTTGCCCAAATTTTAATTTCTAAAAGCGATAAGAAGATAAAAAAAATTATGAAAAAAACATGTTGAAGCATATAATGAATCTCACTGTGTTTAGAATATGTTTGATTGTACATATAGAACAACCCCTCTGCTATGATGGTGACGCCAGAAATTAGTGTTGCCCAAATGCGAGACCGAGACGAGTCTTGGTCTTGCAGACTCAACCTTAATCATGGTCTTGGTCTTGTGCAAGAGTCTCGCAACAATCTTGCATTTACTTATAAGCTTATTGCTATAGAGATATTACTGTAATTTTTTAGATAGGAGAAACCTAATTAAACCCGAATGAAAAATTAGAGGAGTTAAATGCAAAAGTATATTGGTTAAACCAATTATTAACATATAGTAACTAAGATTGTCAAGTATTAGTAACTATTTCGCCTTAATATTTATTTAAAAAAATCGATTTTTTTACTAGTCCTGATCTTGGTCTTGCAACAATTAGGCGGCCTTGGTCTTGGTCTTGCAAAGTGCAAGACGACCAGGCAACACTACGATTTTGGTCAACACCACCAGTAATGGTGATGTAGATAGAAATAAAAAAAAATTTATATATAAATGTGTATATGTCAATTCAAATTATGTTGTCCACTGAGTACCAGTAGTTTTAATTTAGGTCACTTACTCTTCACAAAATCGGTAATCTCCTGATGATTGGAAATTGGTAATGAAGGTCTGTGCGATTTTAAAAATTTCAACAGTGTGGATGTCTATTCTACTGAGTTATTCTTGTTAGGAGTCTGATATATGCTTCTTTTCCATCTCTCAGCAGCGAAGGATTTTAAGGAACGAGATGTCAAACCGATTTTCATGAAGAAATAAGGAATACCAATTAACGAAATATAATTCACTTACATTAAAACCTATGATAGTCAGTGGATGCACAATTTAATGTTCTACAACTTTGATTCTATGAGTTTTTCCTCTTAAGAAACTCATTTCAAAGTTACAGGGTCATTTAGAGTAATTTGTCTCAGTTTTTGACAAATTTGGTAATAATCAGCGTTCGTTGTCCGTGGTTTTCTTCGATACCACTTAGCCAAATTATTAGGTTTAGGTACTCATTCGACGCACAATTTAATGTTCTTTAATTTTCAAATCGATGCACCGTTGAATAAGCTGTAAAGTCTTCCCTTGGTGGTCCGCGTTAGCAATTTTGTTGTTAACATGTCTAAACCCATATATACAAGTTAAAAAACTAAAAACTTTTCTCACATTTTTCGCAATGGATTTCCCAGTTCGATCCACAAGTTACTGGCCTAATATTCTTTAAATCAGCCGCCATTTTTAAGCAGCGGTTCTGGAACGTCAGACTAAGTCCATGTTACTTAGAATAATATGCACTTTTTTTTTACTCTGGATCCAGGGCTACTAGTGTTTCTCTCAATCCTTTTTTCCAAATAAAAGAATAACAACTTACCTATTATCGACGTAGTTGTTTCTTGTTTTTCTACATTTCTGGAAATTAACGCAATTTATTTGTCTACATAAATATATTTTACTGGTAATACATTTTTCAATTATTTCTTTATTAAATAAAAATAACAAAAAAATAAAAATTCAAGAATGTATCCAACGAAATAAATTATTATGATGAAACTTACACAGCATTTTAAGTAAAGAACTTAAGAATTCAGGGAAAATAAACTCTTGTATTTCAGTAGTGAGAACTAATTGAATTATAGATAGTGTTTTATCGAAAGTTATAAGTTTATATAGAGTATTATCCAACTTTTTAATATTAATTTAATTTGTGTTCATAATCACGTTTCATTCAATTAAAGTAAGTGATTGTTATTTCAGCACAGCTTAGTGCACAGGTAGTAAAGAAAAGTATAAGAGAAATCATTTAAAAGAAGCAAACTTGATATATTTATCATATCACTGTAGAAATAATATACAGAAAAAAATCACAAATGGTTAAAACATTGTATTTATGCTTTTATTGAGAACATTTTATTAACATTGTTTAAGTTTCCCGATGCACCATCATTTTGGGGAAATCCCTTTTTTGTTTTGTTTCATTTTGTTCGATATATCTAAAGTATCGGTCTGATATATTTCAATTCTTTTTCTATAAAAGGTCTATCTAGATTTCTGTAGTGAAAATACATTTCTCACTTGATATAACATTCAAGGACGCCACATCAAAAAAGGATTGCAGCTCTATCTGTAGTCACTTTTATTATACACAAAGATTACAATAGTAATGAAATTTTAGACATTTAACAGTTTGTTATATTTTGAAATGTATTTGAAAAAAATATATTGTGTAATAAATTAATATTGAACAAGAAAGATTCATCTAAATTTGTCTGTAATCAGGTAATTAATAACCTCTATAACAGATATTTTTTATCAGATTAAAAATTATTTTTTATCTGAATGTAACTTTTCTTTTTTCTTATGAATGAAAAGAAAAATATATCTCCCCAAATTGTGATTAAATTCATGACCTATATTAAGTGGCCTCATCATAATAGTAACCTTGCCATTATCTGGAATTATCTAAACCGATGTTTAATATCTTATAGTATTCTATTTATAGAGAGGTGACTGAATGATTAAAAAAAAAACAGTAAATAATGGACTTAATAATTTGTATTCTTTTGTTTATAAAAACATTAAATAAATAGAAAAATATATGTACATTTTATATACATTTATGTTTAAGAAAAAACATTATTATAAAGTATATACATTTAACAGAGAAATATTCCTGGACTAGGAATGCTTAAATAACTTTGGTATAAACAACAGTCATATTAAACTCACATAAAACAACAAAAATAAAAAGATTTCTTATAGTAATGACTTATGAAACTTATATTATTATAATTATCACACACCTATATATCATATATATCCTATTACCTCAGGATTAATTTAATTTTTAGAATTAGTAAATAATTATGTGATATGAATAATTACAAAATGAATATTTTTTTTTTAAACAGAAAATATTTAAAATCTATTTACATTTGTCCAAAATATCATAAATCATTTTTCCTCCTAAAACATAAATTATAGCCAAAGTATAAAGCAAAATATACTTTGCAACAGTAAAACAAAATTTAGTAAATAATATTTTGTTGTAAACAGATCAATCTACGCAATAATTGAAATTATTTAGATTGAAAAAAATATTATCTAGAGCCTAAAGCAAAAAATAATATATAGATAGTTGTATTGACTTTCTTTTCATCTGATTCAAATAAAAAGAAAAAGAACATGAAGACTTATCCGATGAGGTAACAGGCATGTTCAGGTACAAAGGTTCAGATTGTCTGGATGAGATCAAGCCCTGAAGGAGGTTGGTATGACTAAGACTGGGGCAATTTGTTGAGTTCCCCTTGCGTGCCTCTTAACGTGTTTTGCCAAATGATCAGATCTCATGAATCTCTGTCCACATGAACTGCAAGCAAATTTTTTCTCTCCAGTATGGGTCCTTTTGTGCCTAGAGAGTTCATCGGACCTTGAGAAACGTCGCTCACAGTCTTTCCAGGGGCAGAGAAAAGGTTTTTCACCTGTAACAAGAGAAAAAAAATGAATTGAAATTAATGAAAATGAATTAAAATTATTCTATCATAATAATATTTCAATATTTAATTAATTATTTTGTTATTATAATTTAAAAAAATAAATAAATTGAGGAATGAGCGTGGATATTACTGATTAATTTTTTTATATTAAAGTATTTGAAATTTTGAATAACCTTAGTTACTTTATTGTTGCAAGAATTAACAATATTTTAACTATAATACAAAAAATATAATTTTGTTAGCCTAAATAATTTATTAATGTTTTCATAAATTGTTTAGAATTATGTTTTACTCAGTATAAAATGTTTGTTAGAAACAGAAATAATCTACTAATATTTAAGATACAATTAGAGTAATAGAAATACTAACCAGTATGAGATCTCATGTGAGCTTTGAGGTGTGAGGACTTAAAATAATTCTTGCCACAACCTTCTTCTTCACATTGGAAAATACGTCTTCTTGTATCAGTCTCTGGTGCAGTGACAAGTACAAGTGGACATGCAGATTGGATAGGAATAAGTTTTCCACCTGTTAACAAAACCGCCTCTTGAAGAACTGGTTTTGGCAGAATTGGCTTTTCTTTTACAATGTTTTCCTCTCTTGAAGTATCCTTGCAATTCTTGACAATCTCTTCTTGTTTTCTAGTGTTCATTTTGTACTTCAATGCTTTTAACATGCTCTGAGATGGAACGAAATTTGGTCTTGGTTCATGACAGATTGGTGGTTCCTTTCTGCAAACACCTTCCTTATCAACATGCATTATGACAGATACTTGTACACATGTCACTGGTTGTGGAGGACTAGGTGTTCTTGGAGGAGTACTGTTCAGAATAGTCTGTAACCAAAAACAAAATTTAAATTAGTATAATTTGATTGACAGTGGACACCAAACTAATCACTATACAAACTTTGCTACAGTTAGCCTATTTTTTATTGTTATGAATTATTTTATTCATTATTTTTATAAAAAATATATTATATCCAATTATATTATTATTTTCATTATTTTACAATTAAATGATACTCACTCTAGCAAGGTTCTCATTGATGAATGGTTTTTTCTCGGGGATTTCATGATCTTCCCCTTCTGAGTCTGATGGCTGTGGAGTAAGTAAAGCACCTCCAATTTCATTATATTTTCTTTTTGCAGCACCAAACTCCCTGAGCTTACTGGCGACTGCCTCTGCATCAAACCCACAGTCGTAGTCGTACATCTATAAATAAATAATGGATATTTTATTATTCAGTTGAATATTGAAATAAATATTACTGTTCTTTAAATCTTATTGTCAGATATTTATTTATTTATTTTTTTTTAAGGAGTTAGAAGTTCCATTAATACATATTGATTTGGTACTGAAAGTATTTAAAATAAAAATAAGATTTCAAAATCTATCATAAAAAAATTTAGGGGGAGTATTTTTTTAAATCTAAATTAATTAAAATGTTGAAAAATTACAAATTTGTAATACAATTTATTTATTTTACAAGGAATTGTTTTCTAACAAGTTTGTAAGCAGACTTAGTGTTATCATTGTTTATGTATTCTCCTGACGGGTAGCAGGAAATCCCCCAGGTGTTATCCCCAAGGACATCCTACTATCATATCAAGGGTTCACAATTTAAAGACGACACCTAGACAGTAGCATTTTCATGAAAATCCGATAGGATCTCAAAAGACAGAGGAGTATACAACCCATCCAGAAGGCTTGGCGGAGGAAGCTGTTAAAACTGGACAAGGACGTCTAAAATAGTAGAGGTGACTACACTACTATTGTAAACACGATGCTATCACGTGATATACCACCTTCCACCTCGTGGGCAGGGTATTTTTACCTTGTTATCAGTTTTATTATTTGGGTCATAGGTATTAGCTATTTGGTATTGAATCTCTAAATCAAAACAAATACTAATCAGTTAGTTTTTATTTAATTAAGTAGTTTAAGAAAAAACAAAGTATATTTTGGTGTAGGTATATATTTCTAAAAAAATACGAATAGAAGGAAATTCATTTAGTCAGAAAATACATAATTTTTTGAGTTAACAAGAATTTAAAAAAAAAATTATATATATTTTACAAGTTATTTTTATTTAGCTTATTTTGTTGTTTTTTAAATTTAATTTTTATATGATAGATGTAAATTCATATTTTAAAAATTTTATTATGATTTATCACATTTCTTTATTGGCTCTGTTATTTTATAGAGTACAAATAGTTACCTAAATAATTCGAAACTAGCCCGGGAATGGAGGGGGTCCGCTTCTGAAGGGAGTGTCATTTCGATTACAAAATATTTAAATTAAATTCTATTTCTAGGACTTTCGAAATAAACTATCTACGGAATCCGAATAAAAAAATATAAATGGAATTTAAAAAAATAAATCTGTGGTTAATAGTAAGTTAGTTTTGGCTTAGAATAATACGTAAGTTTAATATTTCTATGATTTGCAGTTTGCGGACTTGACCATTTCCTGGTCCCTTAGGAAGTTCTAGATTTTGAAATGTTGTCTAATTAAGCATTCTTAAAACAGGAGATCCCCTTTTTGTTTATTTGTTTTTGTTTAAAATTATTGTTTTAATGTTTAAGTGTTTGAACCATTAATGTTTAATGGGGATCGGGGTTGATGTTAAAGTGTTTCGGGCCAGAAATTTATTATTGTTTTGACCAGAATGTCTGGCAAGTTTCTTTTATGGACATTGAAGCAGTTTAAGTTTAGCAGAGTTTGGATGAAACTTGGCAAAACTATATTAGGATTAGATTCCTAGGGACGGACTCACCTTTGATTTGCTGATCTGGAGCCGATGTGGCGAAGAAGTGACAACGGGTGGAAGAAGTGTGTTACTGATGGTTTAGAGGCAGAGGAGAGAATGAAGTGGGCTCGGCCGGAGGCGGCCAACCAGAGCTGATCACGCACTCGGGTCGTGGTAGCCCTCCTGGTGTTCACGTGAACAGGGGCTGCCCGTGACGTCACCTTTCTACGTCACGGCCCGTCCATTGACTCGCGGGGGGTGTGACGTGGGCTCGATCACCGCTAGCCGGCGAGCCTTTAACTCTTTCTCAGTAGCCTCTCCAATGCAGGAGTAGCATGGTCTCTGTTACTCCACCTCTTTCCTATTTGCGAATTATTCTTTATTTACTCGTCTGAAAACTAAATAATTTACGCTGTAATTTCTATATGGCTTTTTAATTTAGATATTATAGTAATTATTATTAGAAAATGTTAAATGGTCCAAAGTTTCGATTCTGAAACTACCAAATTCGAATCTACAGTTACTCTCCCCACCGACTCCAGTGTAAACCCAAATTTGCAAGGTGAATCTTAGTACAAACTTCCCACTTACCTTGCCATCTACGATTCGCCAGTCAATTCGGTGCTAATTTTTTTTTTTTAAGGACTTATTGATTGTTAAACGAGTGAAATGAACAGAGATGCATTATACTGCTTACAACATATTCACAAATATATACATATATTGAAAGATGACATCGTATTCTTTCAATTAACGTATATCTTAGTACATGTATATGCGAATAGTTGACGGAATATAAAAACATATAGAATAGAAAATAATTTTATTCAGGGACGAAGTCCCTTTAGAATAACAAAAAAGTACAAAATTAAAATGTTATATCTAGCCAAATAAAAACAAACATAATAAGTAAAGAAAATATTAGTTATACATACTGTATACAAAATAAAATAAAAAAATCTATATACAAAACTCTTGAAACCTTGCCAAGACAATTAAAATTAGGTACAATGGTAAATTATAAATATACACTTTTAGAAAAAATAAAAAATACATTACATTCTTCTTCGCAGTGTATAATATTAATTATTTAATATATATATATATATATATATATATATATATATATATATATATATATATATATATATATATATATATATATATATATATATTAAATAAAAAGAAAACGCATGGACATGACGAATGTTATTTAGACTTTTTAAAGATAACCCTCTATAAATCGGTTGACAAATAATGCACGCTGCTTCATGACGCTCAATGTATTAAATAAAAACTTATCTTTATTCTGGGACAAGTAATATCCAACAGTTCTGACGCCAGGGTCCAAAAATCGACCTGTTTGCAGGCGAAGATTTGAATATAAATTACGAAAGTGTATGTAAAATGAACCTTGTCTGCTGTTCCATAGCCGCTGTTTTTAATAATGGCTACTGATTTAAAGAATATTAGGCCAGTAACTGGAGAATTGAAACGGAAAATCCATTGCGAAAAATGTGGGAAAAGTTTTTATTTTTTAAACTTGTATATATGGGCTTAGACATGTAAAATACAAAATTGCTTATGTGGAGCGCCAAGGGAAAACTTTTTACAGCAAAAAATTCAGATATTTTCGATATTTTTTTGTTCTTTTACCTATAACTCCAAAACGATACATCAAAGCGATAAATGTACTCTTTAATAAATAAGTGAAATGAAATAGAAGTGGATACTACTGAAATATCACAAAGGAAAGATTCATAAAATTACTCACTAATTTAATTTTCTAAAAAGTTACATGACAATATTTATAAAAATAAACGGAAGTTGATACCTAATTATTTAAATATAATATCAGATCTAGAATTATTAAACTACAGTAAATGTATTTAAGGTTATAAACATACGCTTTATACATCCATGAAATGATTTTATATTTTACTTCTTGTTTCACACAAGTACAATGAAATAGTTTTTTTAACAATGTCATAGCTTGATTAGGTGGATTTTAAATACTTTATTCAAACTTAAAAATATTTTAAAAGTTTACATTTAGTTAGTAAATTTCATTTAATTTTCTTTTAAACATGTGATTTACGTTACATATTATTAGTTTTCAAACATTATTATTTATAATTTGTTTGTCACTCTCCGTTACCTTCCACAACTTTCTATATTAGATATTGTGTTTTTTTCAATTCTCCGTTTTACGTAGACCTTCTGACTCGTATTTTCGGAGATTCATTTTCGACCTTGATAAGCATTTTTATTTTTTTCTCCTTTATTCAATCATCAAATTCTTTCAAAAGTTATATTTAGCATTTTTTCGTAACTCTTGATAATGAGAGATAGTTAATTATTTAATATAAACCATATTAAAGGTACTTTAGATGAAGACGCATATGAAAATTGGGCATTTAAGCCCTGTAAAGTGACATCAAAGGGGATAAGACCTAAATGATATTAAAAAACCACTTCATTATACAATGATACACCAAGTTTAATCGAAATCGTTAGAGCTGTTTTTGAGAAAATTGTAAAAATGTGTTTCAGCGTTGATATGAAGTGGCACTTCCGGTTAGCCGATACACACAGACATACAGACCATTTTTCGGGACTTGGTTATTTGGACTTCGGGTACCCCAAAACGTGTATTTCCGCTAAAAATTCAGATTCAAAAATTTTCACGATCGCAATACTTACCCTTACTGTATATTACATATATACGTAAGTGAAAGTAAAAAAGAAAAAAATACCAAATGTTTTAAAATAATTAATTTACGCCCATCGATAAAGCAACCTTGTTAGAGAAATATTGAATGAAATAAAATGCAAGTACACAATGCAATAATATAACAGCTTCAGAAATAAATTTAATTTTTTAAGGTGGAAGGGAGATGACGTAATTGCCCATGGGCACCGAATGTCTAAGGCCGGCACTGTTTATAACTTCTACCTTTTTTTCAGCACTTTTCTAATCCAACCAAAATAATTTTTTAAATTTTCAGTATTCCATTACTAAGAAAATTGTATTGTTTTCTTATCCTAGCTATGGGCTATTTAGATATTAACTACTATTTACATACCGATATCACATCTTTCCGTGTTTATCTGTTTATATAGTGCTTTTTATATCATTGAAGGTCTTTTTTCATAATATGATATCACTCCACTTCAGATATTCCTTGGTTTAATAATTAAAAACAGCGACAAAAATAAACTATGAATATTGTAGCTATGATAGTAATATTAAAAAAACGTTCTAATGGATCCGAAAGCTTGATGTTAAAGTCTCATTTATTGGCTGCCAGCTGGTGCGTCATTCAAGGTTGCCTAACACTGGATGCCTACGAATAGCAGCTTGTAAACAGTGCTCGCCAGAAGAACAAATATATTTTATTTGCTAAAGCGCTGATAAGTTTTCCGCTGATAAGGCTTCCGCCTCACTTCCACAAGAGACAGAGTGTGACGAAGCTGCAAACCACCTATGGAAAATCTGGATGGTGTTTCGGCCATTTGTTAAAAATGAATAAATCAACACATATTAAACTTTGGCACAACCCTCGAATTGTTGTGCACAACTGCCAATTTGTAAACAGTAGCGCCAATCAAAAATTCTTTTTTTTTTTGTTAAGCAGTAATGTATGCCATATCCCCTGCTCTGTGCCAGTATCATCTGCTATGCAGACCCGGGCTCGGACGTACTTTACAATAGTGTTTAAAATCAAACAAGTATATTTAATGTAAAATTAGTCATTATCGAGAGGAAAACACGCATATTCAGAATAGCCTCTACCGGATGAATCTGGAGGGGTGCATTTAGTTAAGGTGTGCTGGTGTAAAATAAGTTAGTCTCATGGAGAACAAGGCAGAGCTGGTAAGTATTATCGTGATTTGGAACAAAATCTTTGACCAAATTCGTTATTTTAATTACTCATTCGACGCACAATTTAATGTTCTTGATTTATGAAAAAGAAACATTTTCAGTTGGAAGCAGTTTTGGAGTTATAAATTCATAACTGAAACAGCCATAACTATAACGATGCAGATCCATACCGACAGATCTCCATTTTTTAGTTCTTGTTGAGGAGCGTAATTGTTTGGAAATAAGGACATAAGGACATAAAAAAGCGAAAAATGGTACAAAGTAAGTCAAGTTTTTCTGTATGGTACTAAATGTCTGTGTAATATATATATATATATATATATATATATATATATATATATATAAATAAATAAAATAGATTGGCTACTGTGAGGCTTAATTCTTTATAATTTCTATACCTTCAAATGAATTAACAGCCAAAAAACAAACTACTTAGAAATTGTCAAAAGGTTTATTATACGATTTAAAAGTAACCAAATGGTAGTAAATAGATTATTATCATCCATTTAATTTCAGATAATATAAAGTTGAGCTCCTTTGCAGCTTAAATTGTTCCATTGTAGTTTTGTATTATGTTGCGTACTACTGGCAATGTGTAAGCAGTAGCGAGTTATATATTACATTTTTTTTATTTTATGTATTGTTTGATCATATTGTATATTGATTATATTCTGGAAAATAATAGAAATCCTGAAACTTTACGTTACACAAGGAACTTTGTTTGGAATAGCTTACTTCATAAACAAGATTGAAAATGGCAAATATTTTTGTGTCAAAAAGTCTTCAAATAGATAAAAAAGATTTTGATGTATTAAATAATTTAATAATTAAAAATACATTTTTTTAAATTAAGGCCGATATTTTGTTTCTACCACATCGAGGTTAATATAAATGATTAATTAGTTCATTTAAAATTGCGAAATATGTAAAGCTTTAATTGAGGTGAATTTTTCTTTGCATTAAACGAATATGTTAATTATTTAGTTATCGCTTAATAATATATCGTGGCACACAATCGAAGTGATACACCTAGATATTGATAGAAATTATAATTAAATAATTCAATTTATATTACATTGAAAACAATAATTTATTATAATCAATAAGAATCCTAGTAATATGTTCTTTTCCTGTATTATTTTCCTTGTTCTTATGTTCTGTTATGTTTTATGTGCTTTTGTTATGTTCTTTTTTGGTGTAGAGGTGTGTGGCGGCTTCAGGTGTAATACGAAATTTTTAGCAAAGAAGACTTGAAACAATA